ATTCTAGAAAATTTCGGAATTTTTGAAAACATTTTATGAAACGTTCCAACACATTTTTGAACTCTCTGTAACATTCCAAACAACCTAATTTCAAGTTGAAACTTTTTTGGAACATTCTAGAATTTTTTGAAACAAACCAAATTTTTTCCAACAAGTTACAATCTGTTCCAACGAGTTCTAAAAATTTTTAGGAACATTCTAGAACATTTCAGAATTTATGGAAACATTCTAGAACATTTTTGAACTTTCTGCAACATTCCGAACAACATAATTTCGAGTTAGAACTTTTTTTTAGAACTTTATAGAATTGTTTGAAACAATCTAAATTTTTTCCCAACAAGTTTACAGTCTGTTCCAACGAGTTCCAAAAAATTATTTTAGGAACATTCTTTAACATTTCAGAATGTATGGGAACATACATAGAATATTTTTGAACTCCCTGCAACATTCCAAACAACTTAATTTCGAGTTGAAACTTTTTTTTTTGAACATTCTAGAATTTTTTGAAACAATCTAATTTTTTTTCAACAAGTTTACAGTCTGTTCCAACGAGTTCCAAAAATGTTCATGAACATTTCAGAATTTATGGGAACATTTTAGAACATTTTTGAACTCCCTGCAACATTCCGAACAACTTAATTTCGAGTTGAAACTTTTTTTTTTTGGAACATTCTAGAATTTTTTGAATCAATCTAAATTTTTCCAACAAGTCAATAATCTGTTCCAACGAGTTCCAAAAATTTTAAAGAACATTCTACTAGAACATTTCAAAATTTATGGGATCATTCTAGAACATTTTTGAACTCCCGGCAACATTCCGAACAACTTAATTTCGAGATGAAACTTTTTTTTGGAACATTCCAGAATAATTTGAAATAATCTAAATTTTTTCAAACGGATCTACAATCTGTTCCAATGAGTTCTAAAAATTTTTGGGAACATTCTCGAACCATTTTGGAATTTTTGGGAACATTTTGGAACGTTCCAAAACATTCTAAACAAACTAATTTCGAGTTGAAACTTTTTTTTTGGAACATTTTAGAATTTTCTGAAACCATCTAGGTTTTTTCCAACGGGTTTACAATCCGCTCCATCGAGTTCCAAAATATTTTAGAAACTTTCTAGAAGATTCCAGAATTTATAGAAACATTCTAGAACATTTTAGAATTCCCTGCAACATTCCGAATAATTTAATTTCGAGTTGAAACTTTTTTTTTGGAACATTCTAAAATTTTTTGAAACAATCAAAATTTTTTCCAACTGGTTTACAATCTGTTCCAACGAGTTCCAAAAATTTTTACACATTTCAAAATTTATGAGAGTATTTTTGGAACATTTCTAAACTCTCTGCAACATTCCGAACAACTTAATTTCGAGTTGAAACTTTTTTTTTGGAACATTCTACAATTTTTTGAAACAATCGTAATTTTTTCCAATTGGTTTACAATCTGTTCCAACGAGTTCTAAAATTTTTTAGAAACATTCTAGAAAATGTCGGAATTTTTGAAAACATTTTATGAAACGTTCCAACACATTTTTGAACTCTCTGTAACATTCCAAACAACCTAATTTCGAGTTGAAACTTTTTTGGAACATTCTAGAATTTTTTGAAACAAACCAAATTTTTTCCAACAAGTTACAATCTGTTCCAACGAGTTCTAAAAATTTTTAGGAACATTCTAGAACATTTCAGAATTTATGGAAACATTCTAGAGCATTTTTGAACTTTCTGCAACATTCCGAACAACATAATTTCGAGTTGGAACTTTTTTTTTAGAACTTTATAGAATTGTTTGAAACAATCTAAATTTTTTCCCAACAAGTTTACAGTCTGTTCCAACGAGTTCCAAAAAATTATTTTAGGAACATTCTTTAACATTTCAGAATGTATGGGAACATACATAGAATATTTTTGAACTCCCTGCAACATTCCAAACAACTTAATTTCGAGTTGAAACTTTTTTTTTTGAACATTCTACAATTTTTTGAAACAATCTAATTTTTTTTCAACAAGTTTACAGTCTGTTCCAACGAGTTCCAAAAATGTTCATGAACATTTCAGAATTTATGGGAACATTTTAGAACATTTTTGAACTCCCTGCAACATTCCGAACAACTTAATTTCGAGTTGAAACTTTTTTTTTTGGAACATTCTAGAATTTTTTGAATCAATCTAAATTTTTCCAACAAGTCAACAATCTGTTCCAACGAGTTCCAAAAATTTTAAAGAACATTCTAGAACATTTCAAAATTTATGGGATCATTCTAGAACATTTTTGAACTCCCGGCAACATTCCGAACAACTTAATTTCGAGATGAAACTTTTTTTTGGAACATTCCAGAATAATTTGAAATAATCTAAATTTTTTCAAACGGGTCTACAATCTGTTCCAATGAGTTCTAAGAATTTTTGGGAACATTCTCGAACCATTTTGGAATTTTTAGGATCATTTTGGAACGTTCCAAAACATTCTAAACAAACTAATTTCGAGTTGAAACTTTTTTTTTGGAACATTTTAGAATTTTCTGAAACCATCTAGGTTTTTTCCAACGGGTTTACAATCCGCTCCATCGAGTTCCAAAATATTTTAGAAACTTTCGAGAAGATTCCAGAATTTATAGAAACATTCTAGAACATTTTAGAATTCCCTGCAACATTCCGAATAATTTAATTTCGAGTTGAAACTTTTTTTTGGAACATTCTAAAATTTTTTGAAACAATCAAAATTTTTTCCAACTGGTTTTCAATCTGTTCCAACGAGTTCCAAAAATAGTTCGAAACATTCTTGAACATTCCAGAATTTATGAGAACATTCTAGAACATTTTTGAATTCCCTGCAACATTCTAGACAACTTAATTTCGAGTTAAAACTTTTTTTTTGGAACAATCTAAAAAAATTTTAAACTCGTTGCAATGCTATTACGAAACATTAGAACTCGTTAGAGTGAGTTTTTCGAAGTGTTTCAACGAGTTCCAAAAAGTTTATAAAATTCCAACAAACATTAAAATTTGTTGGATTGAGTTTTCTGAACTTTTTCAACAAGTTTATAACGTTCCAACAAATTCAAATACCCGTTCCAGTATTATTTAGAAACATTAGAACTCGTTAATGTGAATTTTTTAAACTGTTTCAACGAGTTCCAAAAAATTTATAATGCTTAAATCAGAAAATTTTTGTGACATCTTTCCTCGATTTTAATTTCTTCTCTTCCCCGTATTTTGTGGTGTCACTCCTTGATTTTAATTTTTTTATTTTGTGGTGGCACCCTTCGATTTTAATTTTTAAAAAAAGTTGTGTTTTGTGGTGTTACTCGTGTATATTTTTCAAACTGTGGTTTCACGCCTGGATTTAATTTTTTTTTCTGTATTTTGTAGTGCCACTCCTCGATTTTTTTTTTTTTCTTTCCTGTATTTTGTGGTCTCGCTCCTCGATTTTAATTTTTTTTATTTTGTGGTGTCACCCCCCAATGTCAATTTAAAAAAAATTCTATATTTTGTGGTGTAACTCTTGTCTTTTTTTTCTAGTTTAATTTCTAAAAATACAGTGTGGTGTCACCGCTCAATTTTAATTTTTTTTCCCGATTGTGTGGTGTCACTCCTCGAATTCTTTCCTGTGTTTTGCAGTATCACCCCTCGAGTTTTTTCCTGTGTTTTGTAGTATCACCCCTTGATTTACATTTTTTTTTCTTTATTGTGTGGTGTCACTCCTCGATTTTTGTCTTCTTTATTTTGTAGTGTCACTCTTCGGTTTTTTTTCCTTTATTTTGTGGTTCACTCCTCGAAAAAAAATTCATCATTTTATGGTATCAAACCCCCAAAAACCCCTCAACTTTAATTTTTTTTTCCGATTGTGTGGTGTCACTCCTCGAGTTCTTTTTCCTGTGTTTTGCAGTATCACCCCTCGAGTTCTTTCCTGTGTTTTGTAGTATCACCCCTCGATTTTCATTTTTTTTCTTTATTGTGTGGTGTCACTCCTCGATTTTTGTCTTCTTTATTTTGTAGTGTCACTCTTCGGTTTTTTTCCTTTATTTTGTGGTTCACTCCTCGAAAAAAAAATTCATCATTTTATGGTATCACTCTCTCATCGGATATCCAACTGTCAAATTCAATTTTGACAGGTGCTGAAATTTTCTTAATTTCACTTAATAAAAATGACACGAGTTTGGAGTTCACTAATTGACACTTTATTGTCAAAAATCGTGCCGGAAATTGATATTTCATTGTCATAATTCGTGATTTTTGACAGGTTTCCTTTTTTTTACAACCTAATCGGACATCAAGTTTTCAAATTTTGACAGCTATCGAAAATTTTCCAATTTCAATCATCAAAAATGACACAAGTTTGAATCTCGTTTGTCATTTTATTGTCAAAAATTGTGACATTTGGCAGGTGTTTTTTTTCAACCTTATTACAGACTCAACTGTCAAATTTTGACAACTTACAAAAAAATTCTAAATTGCAAAAAATCAAAATTTATAAAAAAAAAAAAATTACAAAAAAAAGAATTTACCAGAACTTGTATTTTGTGGTAACTCCATGTCAGCCAAAGGCTTCTTTCTCTCCTGTAGATAATCGATAGCTTCCTTCACGACAGCTCGAATATTTCCTGCTGCAACACCGCCACGTCACTTTTGACATTTGTCATTACTGTCAACCCGATGCGGTCGGATCAGTATCAGGCGTTAAATGTCGGCCGAATTGTCGTAATAACCCGGCGATTTTCCTAGAAAAAAAATGTCAAGTGTCAATTTTTTTGACAAATCAGACATTTGACACTTTTACCTCCTAATTCTAATGTGACAGGTGTCAAATGTCGGTTGGCGAGGAAAAAGATTTAAAAAAAAATATTTAGTATGTAATGATGAAAACTGCTAACCATTGATTAAACCATGATTAACTTTGATTAGTCTTACTGATTACATATTAAAAAAAAAACAAAAAAAAAAAATTGAACCTCTTATACGACCAGATTTAAACCTTCTTGACTTTTATTTTCAGCGCCATCTCCATGTACTTTGAACTGGAAGACAAGGACTTGGTCTTCATCACCAGTCCCGATCAGCGCGAAAAAGACGGCAAAGGTTTCTTGATCAATTTGATCGACTCGCCCGGTCACGTCGATTTCTCGTCGGAAGTGACCGCCGCCCTTCGGGTCACCGACGGCGCCCTCGTCGTCGTCGACTGCGTGTCCGGTAAGTAAGTAGAATAATAATAAAAAAGATTTTCTAATTAAAAAAAACATTTTTTTAAAAAAGCTAAAAATTAAAAAAAAAAACTACAAAAAATAGAAAAATAAAAATAAAAAAAAAATTGAATTTTCAATTCTCAGATTTTTTCAACTTTTCTGAATTTTTCAATTTTTCAACCTTCTGTTTGATATTTTTGCGGCTTTTTAAATTTTTTTCACATTTCTCATTTTTTTTTTTTTGATTTTCTTGATTTTCTTGAATTTTTTCATCTTTTATCGCATTTCCTGGATTATTTCAACTTATTTGAATTTTTTAAATTTTTTTTTTGGTTTTTTCTTCGGTTTTTTCAACTTTTCTGAATTTTTATAACTTGTGAAATTTTGAATTTTTCCATCTTTTATCGTATTTCCTGGATTATTCCATCTTTTTAAATATTTCCATCTTTTTATCGCTTAACTTTTTTGAATTGTTTAAAATTTTTTTTTATTTTATTCTTCGTTTTTTCCAACTTTTCTGGATTTTTAAAACTTGTGAATTTTTGAATTTTTTCATCTTTTATCGCATTTCCTGGATTATTTCAACTTATTTGAATTTTTAAAATTTTTTTTTTGGTTTTTTCTTCGGTTTTTTCAACTTTTCTGAATTTTTATAACTTGTGAAATTTTGAATTTTTCCATCTTTTATCGGATTTTCTGGATTATTTTAACTTTTTTGAATTGTTTTAATTTTTCTTTTGTTTTTTTCTTCGGTTTTTTTAAACTTTTCTGAATTTTTAACACTTGTGAAATTTTGAATTTTTCCATCTTTTATCGCATTTTCTGAATTATTTCAACTTTTTTGAATTGTTTTAATTTTTTTTTTCTTTTTTTTTTTCGGTTTTTTCAACTTTTCTGAATTTTTAAAACTTGTGAAATTTTGAATTTTTCCATCTTTTATCGCATTTTCTGGATTATTTCAACTTTTTTGAATTGTTTTAATTTTTCTTTTGTTTTTTTCTTTGGTTTTTTCAACTTTTCTGAATTTTTAAAACTTTTGAAATTTTGAATTTTTCCATTTTTTATCGCATTTTATGGATTATTTCCACTTTTTCAAATTATTTTAATTTTTTTTTTGTTTTTTTTTTCGGTTTTTTCAACTTTTCTGAATTTTCAAAAATTGTGAAATTTTGAATTTTTCCATCTTTTATCGGATTTTCTGGATTATTTTAACTTTTTTGAATTGTTTTAATTTTTCTTTTATTTTTTTCTTCGGTTTTTTTTTAACTTTTCTGAATTTTTAAAACTTGTGAAATTTTGAATTTTTCTATCTTTTATCGCATTTTCTGGATTATTTCATCTTTTTTGAATTTTTTTAATTTTTTTTTTGTTTTTTTCTTCGGTTTTTTCAACTTTTCTGAATTTTTAAAACTTGTGAAATTTTGAATTTTTTCGGCTTTTATCGCATTTGCTGGATTATTTCAACTTTTTTAAATTTTTTTATTTTTTTTTTTTTTTTTTTCGGTTTTTTTCGGTTTTTTCAACTTTTCTGAATTTTTAAAACTTGTGAAATTTTGAATTTTTCCATCTTTTATCGCATTTTCTGAATTATTTCAACTTTTTTGAATTGTTTTAATTTTTTTTTTCTTTTTTTTTTCGGTTTTTTCAACTTTTCTGAATTTTTAAAACTTGTGAAATTTTGAATTTTTCCATCTTTTATCGCATTTTCTGGATTATTTCAACTTTTTTCAAATTATTTTAAATTTTTTTTTTGTTTTTTATTTCGGTTTTTTCAACTTTTCTGAATTTTCAAAAATTGTGAAATTTTGAATTTTTCCATCTTTTATCGGATTTTCTGGATTATTTCAACTTTTTTGAATTGTTTTAATTTTTTTTTTGTATCCTTCTTCAGTTTTTTCAACTTTTCTAAATTTTCAACACTTGTAAAATTTTGAATTTCTCTCGCATTTTCAGGATTATTTCAACTTTTTTGAATTTTTTTTTTTTTTTTCGGTTGTTTCAATTTTTCTGAATTTTTAAAACTTGTGAAATTTTGAATTTTTCCATCTTATCGGATTTTCTGGATTATTTTAACTTTTTTGAATTGTTTTAATTTTTCTTTTGTTTTTTTCTTCGGTTTTTTAAAACTTTTCTGAATTTTTAACACTTTTGTGAAATTTTGAATTTTTCTATCTTTTATCGCATATTCTGGATTATTTCAACTTTTTTGAATTTTTTTGAATTTGTTTTTGTTTTTTTTTCGGTTTTTTCAACTTTTCTGAATTTTTAAAACTTGTAAAATTTTGAATTTTTCCATCTTTTATCGCATTTTCTGAATTATTTCAACTTTTTTGAATTGTTTTAATTTTTTTTTTGTTTTTTTTTTCGGTTTTTTCAACTTTTCTAAATTTTGAAATTTTGAATTTTTACATCTTTTATCGCATTTTCTGGATTATTTCAACTTTTTTGAATTGTTTTAATTTTTCTTTTGTTTTTTTTTTCGGTTTTTTCAACTTTTCTGAATTTTCAAAACTTGTGAAATTTTGAATTTTTACATCTTTTATCACATTTTCTGGATTATTTCAACTTTTTTAAATTGTTTTAAATTTTTTTTTATGTTTTTTTCTTCGGTTTTTTCAACTTTTCTGAATTTTTAAAACTTGTGAAATTTTGAATTTTTCCATCTTTTATCGGATTTTCTGGATTATTTTAACTTTTTTGAATTGTTTTAATTTTTCTTTTGTTTTTTTCTTCGGTTTTTTTAAACTTTTCTGAATTTTTAACACTTGTGAAATTTTGAATTTTTCTATCTTTTATCGCATATTCTGGATTATTTCAACTTTTTTGAATTTTTTTTTTGTTTTTTTCTTCGGTTTTTTCAACTTTTCTGAATTTTTAAAACTTGTGAAATTTTGAATTTTTCCATCTTTTATCGGATTTTCTGGATTATTTTAACTTTTTTGAATTGTTTTAATTTTTCTTTTGTTTTTTTCTTCGGTTTTTTTAAACTTTTCTGAATTTTTAACACTTGTGAAATTTTGAATTTTTCTATCTTTTATCGCATATTCTGGATTATTTCAACTTTTTTGATTTTTTGTTTGTTTTTTTCTTCGGTTTTTTCAACTTTTCAGAATTTTTAAAACTTTTGAAATTTTGAATTTTTCCATCTTTTATCGCATTTTCTGGATTATTTCAACTTTTTTGAATTTTTTTGAATTTTTTTTTTGTTTTTTTCTTCGGTAAAAAATAAAAAATATATATTTTTTTTCCAGGTGTCTGTGTCCAGACCGAGACCGTTTTACGTCAAGCCATCGCCGAACGGATCAAGCCGATCTTGTTCATGAACAAAATGGACCGCGCCCTATTGGAGCTCCAGCTCGATTCCGAGGAACTTTTCCAAACTTTCCAGAGGATCGTCGAAAACGTCAACGTCATCATCGCCACCTACAACGATGACAGCGGACCGATGGGAGAAGTTCGGGTGAGTGTCGATTTTATTTTAAAAAAAAATTGGAAAAACATTTGAAAAAATTGAAAAATTAAAAGAACAAAAATTCAAAAATTAAAAGACAAAAAATTGAAAAATTGGAAAAAAAAAATTTGTGGTACTTCTAACTTCTCTAACAGGAAAAAAAATGACAAAAAATGAAATATGGTTTTATACAAAATTGAAAAAAATTAATTGAAAAAAAAATTAAATTATTTGGTACTTCTCTCCAACAAAAAAGATGAAAAAAAAAATAAGACAAAATACCTATCATGCTAAAAATAGTTTAAAAAAAAAATAAAATAAGATTTTCATCTATCAATCAATATCAATCACAAAAAAAAATTAAAAAATGAAAAAGTAGATGTGTAATTTTTTTTCTCTTTTTTTTTTCGAATTTTCGTCTTTTTTATTTTATTTTATTTTTTGTGTATTCTTTGAATGACATTTTTAGTTTTTTCGATTTTTTTGTATTTTCTTTTCAATCGAATTTTCCTCTTATAAAGCATACATATTGATTGATGAGTATGTTTTCTGGAAAATTCGAAATATTGACGTCACCATTTGCCCTGCAGTGATTTGTATCGATATTCGCTGCAGTTTCCTACAGTGAAACAATTGAAAAAAAAAGAAAAAAAATTATATAAAATAATTACATACATACTTAAAAGAATTTTTCAATTTTTTATATTTTTTATTTTTTTGTTTCAATTTTCAAATTTTTCATTTTTCATTTTTTTTTTCTTAATTTTTTATTTAAGGAATTTGACTTTTTTTTTTGTTTTGGAATTTTTTAAAATTCGTCAAGTTCTTTTGGATTTTTTCAACATTTCAAATTTTTTCTAGAAAATTTTGAATTTTCCTCATTTTTTGAAATTTTTTATATCCCTTTATTTTTCAGTTTGAATTTTTATTTTGATAACATTTTTTTAAAGTTTTGAATTTTTTTGAACTTGAACATTTTAAATTTTCTAGAAATTTTTGAATTTTTTAAGTTTTTGAAATTTTTTAAATCCTTTCATTTTGGAGATTGAATTTTTTTTTAATTTCTATTTATTTTTTTTTCCAAGTTTTGAATATTTTTAAATCTTCATATTTTACACTACAGTGTCAAGTTTTATTCAATTTTTTTAAACTTTTTGAACTCATGATTTTCTAAAATTTTTTTGAATTTTTCAAGCTTTAATTTTTTTGATTTCATCAGTTTTCCAAATTATGTATGTACAGGGTCTGTTCCCTATAATTAGTGCGGCTTCTACAACTTAAACAAAAAGAATTACAAAAAAAAGTTAAATACAAAAGTTGTAGGGTTTTATCTCTATTATCTTTCGTACATATCAAAATGGGCAAATGACAGGTGCCAACTGTCATAATGACAGCACTTGCATTTTTTTAAATGGAACACCCTGTATATCTTTAGCTAGGATGATAGACTTTTTTCTTCTGATTTCAAATATACCATATATGTTGATATTTGGTTCAGCTGTTTTTACTCTATTCAAGTTTAAAAATGCATTTACATTACCCTGTTCCTGGTTTCTAATATCAATGATGAGGCTTGCTGAATGCAATTTTAAAATGAAATAGCGCAAAAACAGCTGAACCAAATATCAACATATATGGTATATTTGGAATCGGAAGAAAAAAATCTATCATTCTAGCCAAAAATATACAGGGTGTTCTATTCAAAAAAATGCAAGTGCTGTCATTATGACAGTTGGCACCTGTCAGCCCATTTCGACATGTGCAAAACATAATAGACATAAAACCCTACAACTTTTGTATTAAAATTTTTTTGTATTTTTTTTTGTTTAGGTTGTAGCAGCCGCACTAACATACATATTTTTAATTTTTCAATTTTGAATATTCCATATTTTTTGAAATTTTTCAAACCTTTATATCTCCAGTTTATTAAGCTTGATAAAATTTTTCAATTTTTCTGAATTTTTGGAACTCATGTAATTTTCTAAAAAAATTTGAATTTTTTTAATTTCGTCAGTTTTTCAAATTATGTATATGTATTTTGATTTTTTTCAGTTTTGAATTTTTTTGATCTTTTCAAGTTTTGAGTTTTGAATTTTTTTATTCCATTTTTCAAATAATGTTTCATATTTTGTTTTTTTTTCAAAATTTTGAATTTTTAATTTTTTTTTCAATTTTTCAAATTTGTATTTATATTTTTTGAACTTGTCGAGTTTTTTTGAATTTTTTGCACATTTTAAACTTTCTAGAAAAAACTGAATTTCCCATGTTTTTTAAAATTTCTTTAATCTTTTCATATTTCCTAGTTTATCAAGTTTTTTTTGAATTTCGTTGAATTTTTCAATATTTTTGAATTCTTTAGTACAAATTTTTTAAATTTGTCGTTTTTTTGAAATTTTAAATTTCTGTTTTTTTTTCCATATTCACATTTTTTTTCAAATTTTTGAATTATTTATTTTGAATTTGTCAAGTTCTTTTTTTTTTTAAACATTTTAGATTTTTCATGTTTTTTTAATTTTTTAAAATTTCCATATTTTTTAATTTATCAAGTTTTTTTTGTGTTTCTCAATTTTTTTAATTTTTCAATCTTATATGCGTATTTATTTTATGGATTACGACCGTTGTTAATAATTGATATGGTTCGAATATGTAATTGAATATAATATAATAATTATATGCGTAGTTTGAATTTTTTAAACATTGTAAATTTTCTAGGCGGCTAAAAGAAGCGAAAAAAAATTCAAAAAAAATCAGAAAAATTCAAAAAAATCAGAGAAATTCAAAAAGTGAGAATAACTTGTCAAACTCGAAAAATCCTAAAAATTCTCAAAAAATCACATTTTTTGATTTCATTTCAATTTTCAAAATTTATGACTCTGAAAAAAAAAAAAATAATTTTTAGAAATTTTTGAATTTTTCAAGTTTTGAATTTTTTAATTCCATCTTCATCAGTTTTTCAAATTATTTATTTCTATTTTTTTTTTTAAATTTGTCAAGTTCTTTTGAATTTTTTGAACATTTTAAATTTTAAATTTTCTAGTAATTTTTGAATTTTTCAAGATTTTTTAATTTTTTTGAATACAGTAGAACCCCGATTATCCGAGTCGCATTTATCCGAATTCTGGATTAACCGTGCCAATCTGACGACCCAAAGTTGTTCAAAGACCCTGATTATCCGAGGTATGGGTGTCTATTAATCGGGGTTCTACTGTATTTTTTAAATTTCGTAAATTTTTTTAAATTTACCATGTTTTTTGAATTTTTTTAAATCTTCATATTTTACAATACAGTTTATCAAAAAAAAATTTTTGAATTTTCCAAAATTTTTTGAATTCTTTAAGTTTAAATTTTTTTTAATTTCATCAGTTTTTGAAATTATGGATGTATTTTAAATTTTTTCAGTTTCGAATTTTTTTGATTTTTTTTTTTTTATTTTGAATAATATTCTAAAAATTTTTGTATTTTCCATATTTTTTGAAATTTCCCAAACTTTCATATTTTTCAGTTTATAAAATCTTATTAAATATTTCAATTTTTTCAAATTTTTTGAACTTAATTTTATTTTATAGTTATAATAATTTTCTAAAAAAATTTGATTTTTTCGGTTTTGAATTTTTGCTATTTTATCAATTTTTCAAATTATTTTCCATATTTAGATTTTTTCCAAAGTTTTGAATTTGTCAAGTTCTGTTGAATTTTTTTAATATTTTATGTTTTTGTAAAATTTTCTGAATTTTTCATGTTTTTTGAATTTTTTTAAATCTTCATATTTTCTGTTAATCAAGTTTTTTTTGTATTTCTCAATTTTATCTCAAATTTATATGCGTGTTTTGATTTTTATCAAAGTTTTAAATTTTTCAAACATTGTAAATGTTCTAGAAATTTTTCAATTTTCCATTTTTTTTTTTTTGAATTTTTTAAATTTAAACTTTTCCGGTTTTCAAGTTTTATTAAATTTTTTACTTTTCTTGAACTCTTATAAATAAATTTTTAAAAATTTTTGCATTTTGCAACTCTCCTTTTTTCTGGAAAATTTTCACAATTTTCCTTCTGCCAGTTTTCCAGAAAAAAATTAAAATCTAAAAGAATGAATTTTGCTTGAAAAAGTCAATTTTCCAGAACTTTCCTTGGAGTGAATTTTCAATAGAAAATTTTGAAATTTTCCCATAATGAGCTCCTCATTTTCTTCTTTCCCCTGGAAAAATTTCAGAAAATTTTCAAAATTGAAAAAAGTTCACAAAATTGGTAATTTACAAAATTCACAAAAATTCACAAAATTGATAAATTCCTAAAATTCACAAAATTGAAAAAAAAATTAGAAAATTCACAAATTTCAAAAAAAATCACAAAATTTATGAAAAAACATAAAATTAAAAAAAAAAAACAGAAAGTTAAAAAAGTTCACAAAATTCAAAAAACTTGAAAAAATTCACAAAATTGAAAAAAAAAGCAAAACTTACATAAATCAACACAATTTTCAAAAGTGAAAAAAAATTCATAAAATTCACCCTTAAAATGCTTCATAATTTTCAAAAGTGAAAAAAATTCACAAAAGTGAAAAAGATTCATAAAATTCACAAAATTTTCCAAAGTGAAAAAAGTTTATAAAATTAAAACAAAAAATCACTATATTTTAAAAAGTGCAAAAAAAATTCAAAAAACTTAATTCACAAAATTGATAAATTTATAAAATTCACAAAATTGAAAAAAAAAAACCACAAAATTCACATAATTTTCAATAGTGAAAAATTCCACAAAAAGGAAAAAAGTTTACAAAGTTCACAAAATCCACAAATTTTCAAAAGTAAAAAAAATTTACAAAATTTTTAAAAGTGAAAAAAGTTTACAAAATTCACAAAATTGATAAATTTACAAAATTCACAAAAATTTATAAAATCCACAAAAATTTTTGTCCAAGAATTTCATTGAATTTTATGATGGAATCCCATAGAATCATATGATGAAATTCGGAAAAGTATTATGAAATCTTGTCTAGGAATGTCTAGGAATTTTCGTTTTTTCATTCAAATTTGTCATTTGAATTTAGAATCTCTAGAAACTTTTCAAAAACCCTTAAAATGCTCCAGAATCACCTAAAATTTTCTGATCTCTTGTAAAATCAACGTAAAGATTTTCAAAATTCACAAAATCAAGTCCAGAAAAACTTGTAAGATATATTTGAAATCCCTGAAAATCTTTAAAAAAACAAAATCTCACAAAACCCCTTAAAAATCTCTTGAAATCGCATAAAATTTCACAAAATCACACAAAACAAAAAAAACCCGGTAAAATCCTATAAAATTCCTAATAAAAAAATTACTTTACCATTTCCAAAAATCCTTTGAAATTCCCAAAAATCCGTTAAAATCTCTGAAAATCCTTCTAACTTTCCTATAATGATTCAAAATCACCTAAAATCTTTTAAAATCCTGTAAAATCATATGAATATCATTTTCAAAATCCTACAAATGTGTGTACATGTTTTAAGGAGTTAATCACCCCTCGATAAAAACATTAGCAATAAAGAAATTAAAAAACTGATTTTAAATATATTTTTTTCAGGTTGACCCTAGCAAGGGTTCAGTGGGCTTCGGCTCGGGCCTGCACGGCTGGGCCTTCACCCTCAAACAATTCGCCGAAATGTACGCGGAAAAATTCAAAATCGACGTCGTCAAACTAATGAACCGCCTGTGGGGCGAGAGCTTCTTCAACGGCAAAACGAAAAAGTGGACGAAACAAAAGGACGCGGACAACAAACGTTCCTTCTGCATGTACATCCTGGACCCCATCTACAAAATCTTCGACGCCATCATGAACTACAAAAAAGAAGAATACGAAGCCTTGATTCCAAAATTGGGCATCCAATTGAAACACGAAGACAAAGACAAGGACGGCAAACAATTATTGAAAGTCGTTATGAGGACTTGGTTGCCAGCCGGCGAAGCCCTACTTCAAATGATTGCCATTCACTTACCCTCCCCTGTCACTGCTCAGAAATACCGTATGGAAATGTTGTACGAAGGACCTCACGACGACGAAGCCGCCATCGGTATTAAAACTTGCGACCCCAACGCGCCGCTAATGATGTACATTTCCAAAATGGTCCCCACCTCCGACAAGGGCCGTTTCTACGCTTTCGGTCGTGTATTTTCGGGCAAAGTCGCCACCGGTCAAAAGGCCAGAATCATGGGACCCAACTACACCCCTGGCAAAAAGGAAGATTTGTACGAAAAGGCTATCCAGAGGACGATTCTGATGATGGGCAGATATGTCGAAGCTATCGAGGATGTGCCGTCTGGAAATATTTGCGGTTTGGTCGGTGTTGATCAATTTTTGGTTAAAACTGGTACCATTACTACGTTCAAAGATGCTCACAATTTGAAGGTTATGAAGTTCAGTGTGTCGCCCGTTGTCAGGGTGGCCGTCGAGCCCAAGAACCCAGCCGATTTGCCCAAACTGGTCGAAGGTAAGCGATTTAGATACATTTTAAACACAATTAAAAACGCATTCTAAGTGTTTTTGAGAATTGTACTAGACTTAGTACAATTAATTTTTATTGTAAAAACCTTTTAAACGCACTCCTACATTTATAAAACGATCATTCACGTTATTAAAAATGTAATGCCATCATTTTCAAAAATTGTACTAGATTTAGTCAAAGAAACGTCTCTAGAAGTCTCGTCCGTATTCTGATTTTTAATACCTCGATGGACGCCGGTTTTTGCCGGTGTGGACGCTGGCTCGAGTCTATTGCCCACTGTTGCCGAGTTGTCAGTGCTGTTGAATCCAAAAATTGAAAAAAATAAGGGGGAATTAGAAAATAACAAGAATTATCTGAGAAATGACAGAAATTAAAAAATTTCAAAAACCTTTTTTTTTTACAGGTCCAATGACACCTATAAATTTTTTTTTTTTTTTTTAAGTTTGTCATTTTTTTTTGACAGGTCCAATAATATGTTTTTTTTTTTTCAAATGTCATTTTTTGACAGGTCCAAAGTTATAAAAAAAAATTTTTTTCAAACGTCATTTTCTGACAGGTCCAATAATATGAAGAAAAAAAATTTATTCTTTTTTCAAATGTCATTTTTTGACAGGTCCAAACTTATAAAAAAAAAAATATATTTTTTTTCAAACGTAATTTTTTAACAGGTCCAAACTTATCAAAAAAAAAATATATTTCTTTAAAATGTCATTTTTTGACATGTCCAATCCTAAAAAAAAATTTTTTTTCAAATGTAATATTTTTTTTTGACAGGTCCAATGACACCTATATATATATTTTTTTCAAGTGTCATTTTTTTTTGACATGTCCAATAATATGAACAAAAATTTATTTTTTTTTTCAAATATCATTTTTTGACGGGTCCAAATTTATAGAATTTTTTTTTTTTTCAAACGTCATTTTTTGACAGGTCCAATCTTATAAAAAAAAAATATTTTTTTTTTCAAACGTCATTTTTTAACCGGTCTAATCCTATAAAAAAAAATATTTTTTTTCAATTTTTTTTTTTTTTTGACAGGTCCAGAGTTATAAAAAAAATAAAAATTTTCAAACGTCATTTTTTGGTCCAATCCTATTAAAAAAATATCAAACGTCATTTTTTGGTCCAATCCTATTAAAAAAAAAAAATTTTTCAAATGAAATTTTTTCTTTGACAGGTCCAATGACACCTATAATTATTTTTTTGTGTCATTTTTTTTTTGACAGGTCCAATAATATGATTTTTTTTTAAATGTCATTTTTTGACAAGTCCAATCCTATAAAAAAAATTTTTTTTCAAATTACAGGTCCAATGACACCTAAAGTTTGTTTCGCCAGGGTTTGTACTTGCCACCAGCATTTACCTTCCTCGTTTAACAAATAAAAATTGACTGAAATAAATCAATGACGTCAAAAACGTTTGTCGGTTCTTAACCAAAAGTCATTCATTTTAATTTGTCAAAAAAATTGCATGTGTCATATGAATCAATCTACGACAACCCTTTTTTTTCATGTTTCAAGGTCAAGTATGAACCCTGGTGAAACGAACCTTATATATTTTTTTTTTGTCAAGTGTCATTTTTTTTTGACAGGTCCAATAATACATATTAATTTTTCTTTTTTTTCAAATGTCATTTTTTGACCGGTCCAAACTAATTAAAAAAATAAAAAAAAATTTTAAACGTAATTTTTTGACAAGTGCAAACTTATAAAAAAAAAATATATTTTTTTTCAAATGTCATTTTTTGACAGTATAAAAAAAAATTTTTTTGACAGGTCTAATCCTATAATTTTTTTTTTTTTTTAAAATGTTTCTTTTTTTTTTTAAGGTCCAAGGACACCTATAATTTTTTTTTTTTTTTTCAAGTGTGTTATTTTTTTTTGACAGGTCCAATAATATGAAAATATATTTTTTTTTTCAATGTTATTTTTTGAAAGGTCCAAACTTATAAAAAAAAAATTTTTTTGTTAAACGTCATTTTTTGACAGGTTCAATCCTATAAAAAAAAAAATGTTTCAAATGATTTTTTTTTTTGACAGGTCCAATGACACCTATATATATATTTTTTTTCAAGTGTGCCATTTTTTTTTGTTCAATAATATGAACAAAATTTTTATTTTTTTTTCAAACATCATTTTTTAACAGGTCCAAATTTATAGATATTTTTTTCAAACGTCATTTTTTGACAGGTCCAATCTTATAAAAAAAAATATATATTTTTTTTCAAACGTCATTTTTTAACAGGTCTAATCCTATAAAAAAAAAATATTTTTTTTCATTTTTTTTTTTTTTTTGACAGGTCCAATGACACCTATAAATTTTGTGTGTGTCATTTTTTTTTGACAGGTCCAATACATAATATGAAAATATATTTTTTTTTTCAATGTCATTTTTTGACAGGTCCAAACCCTTAAAAAAAATATCAAACGTCATTTTTTGACAGGTCCAATCCTATTAAAAATTTCTTTTTTTTCAAATGAAATTTTTTCTTTGACAGGTCCAATGACACCTATAAATTTTTTTTTGTGTCATTTTTTTTTTGACAGGTACAATATGAATTTTTATTATTCTTTTTTCAAATGTAATTTTTTTTTGACAGGTTCAATAATATGATTTTTTTTAAATGTCATTTTTTGACAGGTCCAAACTTATAAAAAAAAAAAAAAAATATTCAAACGTCATTTTTTGACCGGTCCAATCGTATAAAAAATTTTTTTTTCAAATTACAGGTCCAATGACACCTATATTTTTTTTTTGACAGGTCCAATAATATATTAATTTTTTTTTTTTCAAATATCATTTTTTGACCGGTCCAAACTAATTAAAAAAAAAAAAAAATTTTTAAACGTAATTTTTTGACAAATGTCATTTTTTGACAGGTCCAAACTTATAAAAAAAAAAATTTTTGACAGGTCTAATCCTATAATTTTTTTTTTTTTTTAAATGTTTCTTTTTTGTTTTGACAGGTCCAAGGACACCTATAAAATTTTTTTTTTTTTTCAAGTGTGTTATTTTTTTTTGACAGGTCCAATAATATGAATATAATTTTTTTTTTCAATGTCATTTTTTGACAGGTCCAAACTTATAAAAAAAAATTTTTTTTTGGTCAACGTCATTTTTTGACAGGTTCAATCCTATAAAAAAAAAATTTCAAATGATTTTTTTTTTTTTGACAGGTCCAATGACACCTATATATATATATTTTTTTCAAGTGTGCCATTTTTTTTTGTTCAATAATATGAACAAAATTTTTTATTTACGACTAATGTATAATGTGCGTATTATATTTGTGATTTTGGCAGTATAATGACATATGTTATTCCTCCAGGGATTAATGACGAGTAGCGGGATTAATGGTCATTATTCCACAAAAGTGTCAGTGTCAAACGTGAAGTGCTTGTGGATTTGTATTGAAAATTATGGGATGATGAAATTTGTTCATTGAAAATCTCAAATAAATTAATTTGTCGTAAATAAAGTAGAGTATACTACTCGCAATAATGGCTATTATTCCCTCGGAATGTTACTCCCTCGCCGCTAACGCAGCTCAGTTCGTAATAATCCTCGGGAATAATAGCTATCATTATTGACTCGTGGTATAATCTACTATATTTTTTTTTCAAATTTCATTTTTTGATGGGTCCAAATTTATAGAATTTTTTTTTTCAAACGTCATTTTTTGACAGGTTCAATCCTATTAAAAAAAAAATTTAAATGAAATTTTTTTTTGACAGGTCCAATGACACCTATAAATTTTTTTTTTTTTTTTCAAGTGTCATTTTTTTTCTGACAGGTCTAATAATAATAATAAAAAAATTTTAAAATGTATTTTTTTTTTGACAGCTCCAATGACACCTATATATATTTTTTTTTTCAAGTGTGTCATTTTTTTTTGACATGTCCAATATTATGAACAATTTTTTTTTTTTCAAATGTCATTTTTAGACAGGTCCAAATTTTTAGATTTTTTTTTTTTTCAAACGTCATTTTTTGACAGGTCCAATCCTATTAAAAATTTTTTTTTTTTCAAATGAATATTTTTTTTTGACAGGTCCAATGACAGTTATAATTTTTTTTTTTTTTGCAAGTGTCATTTTTTCTGACAATAATATGAAAAATTTTTATTTTTTTTTCAAATGTCATTTTCTTTTACAGGTCTAATGATATGAATTTTTTTTTAAATGTCATTTTCTGACAGGTTCAAACTTTTTAAAAAATTTATTTTTTTCAAACGTCATTTTTTGACAGGTCCAATTCTATGAAAAAAAATTTTCAAATGAATTTTTTTTTTGTTATTTTCAAATGTAATTTTTTGATAGGTCCAAAGTTACAAAAAAATTTTTTTCTTAAACGTCATTTTTTGACAGGTGCAATTCTATGAAAATTTTTTTTTTTTCAAATAACAGGTCCGATGACACCTATAAATTATTATTTTTTTTTTTCAAGTGTCATTATTTTTTTTTGACAGGTCCAATAATATGAAGTTTTTTTTTATTTTTTTTCAAATGTCATTTTTTGACAGGTCCAAAGTTATAAAAAAAAAATTTTTTTTCAAACGTTATTTTTTGACAGGTCCAATCCCATAAAAAAAAAAAATCAAATTTTAGGTCCAATGGCACCTATTCATTTTTTATTTTTTTTTTTCCAAGTGTCATTTTTTTTGACAGGTTCAACAATATGAAAATTTTTATTTTTTTTTCAAATGTAATTTTTTGACCGGTCCAAACTCATGAAAAAAAAAAAAAAATTTCAAACGTCATTTTTAGACAGGTCTAATCCTATAAAAAAAAAATATTTTTTTTCATTTTTTTTTTTTTTGACAGGTCCAATGACACCTATAAATTTTGTGTGTCATTTTTTTTTGACAGGTCCAAAGTTATAAAAAAAAAATATTTTTTTTCAAACGTCATTTTTTGACAGGTTCAAACTTATAAAAAAAAATTCAGACGTCATTTTTTGACAGGCTCAATCCTATTAATTTTTT